TAACACACGGATTAGCAAAAATCAACAACTGTTGGCGCTACGAAAGAACAATCCATTCTCAATCGAGTTTATACTGTTGTTGTAATTTCATGGTTATCTATCACATTGAAAACATAAATTTTACAGATATGTAAGCCATTATCCTTTTAAGTTTGAAATTTATATTTTATTGGCTTTGGTATATATCTTTCTGATTAATTTTTTATGTAATGAAAAGAGCTGGCTGTCATAAAGCCCCAAATCCTTACCAGTTGTGTTAAAGGTTGTGCATTAGCTTTTGTATATATAGCTTTAATTTCAAATATTATCGTATTAGTATTTTATTTATTTGGTTTATATATAATATTAATATTAAGATAGAAAAGTTTTCAATTTGAAATTATTATTATATCAAACAGATTAATTCAATAAAAGAGTTCTATTAATGACCCTATAATATCAAGCTTAGTAAATAAATATTAAAATATTATTATTATAAATAGATGCAGTTAAAAGGTTCGAGGATGCTTATTATTTGTGCACTATTATTCACTGACAAATAATTGAAATAATTACGTTTGTTATGTCATCAATCGAGTTTGGACGTCTCCTTCCAGAGTACACTCACTCGTCAACATTATCAGTTCTAGAGAAAGATAAAAATAATGATCCTTGTGTTAAAACATGCATCCAGGCAATGTGTCAATTTTCTAGATTACGCATTAAAGATTATGGTGCATACAATGCAAGCAAAATATTGCAGAATATTGGTGCAAAACCATGGCGTGCTCGTTTGATTCGAACATGGCCTAATCAATTTCTAAAGGATGGCACACTCCCGATTTCAAGAAGAGGAAAACAGCAAAAAAATAAAAACTTTAATCCTTTATAAATTACTTGTGGAATACCTATGATCAAAAAAACGTAATGTTAATGATGTTAAAGATTTTAAAAAATACATTGAAGAAGAAATATTCCCTTCAATTAGAATCAAAGAAAAAGAAATAAGTGAAATAACTGTGTGTGTATGGCTGAGAAAACTTGGATAGAATCACCAAAAAATTTTCAAGATATCTACTTGGATGAACATGAAAGACCTGATGTGATACTTTGCTTGCAAGGGAAAAATTCTTGAAAAAATAAGTTCCTTTGAAAAATTGATGCCCACCCTAGCAAAGGACGACATCACGGTTCTTAATGAACCAATACTTGCACCTGGAGGAAATAGTAATCCATGATGAATATATCTTCTATGCCAATGATGGCAAAAACCTATTGAGACCAATAAAACATGTCCCTTTAAGAAAAAAAGGAACGAGTTTAATCTTCACGTTAGTGATTTTTAACTGGGGCAAGAGGACGATTAAAATTAAAGAAGAAGCAGCCTGTGGAAGATCTTGTTGAACAGGTCGAAAACAAAGCAATCACCGTTTTTAAAAATGCTTTCCGGATGCAGTTGGTGCTTTTTCATTTGACAATGTTACCAGCCATTCATGCTTTGCTAATGATGCTTTAATTACTACCTGAATGAACCTCAAACCTGGTGGTAGTGATAAATATACCTTTAGAGATGGCATTTTACCTAACGGACAACCTCAACAAACATGACTTAGCCTTTTATTATTGTTTCATCCTTTCCTTGTGCATGGATGCCTTTTCCCCACCATCCATTACAATGCTTATTCAATACATTTGATATTATCATTGACATGACAGTCAGAAGATTAATTTTGCCGATTATCTGGTTACACTGTGCCACTTGCGTTTATGTATTTATATATCTTTCGTTTTTACATTTGTTTTAAAAAACATGGACGATGTTGTTATTACGATATTTGAAAAGATTTCAAATCTTGCAGCCAAAGCTTACGAAGCTTATAAACACGTAAAATACTTTAAAAAATTCTCCACAGAGATATATGATAGAATAGAAGCAGGAGCGCATCATTTTAAATATCTGCAAAGACATGAGAAAAAAATCAAAGAAAAATTTAGGGATCAAGATTCTATTACCAACCTTCAACGTTACGTCATTGCAGTGACTAGTCTTACAAATTTGCTTGTTGAATTTTCAGAATTACACCAATTAAAGAAATACTTGAATTCGTTAAATTATAAAGACAAAATTATTGAAAAAATAAAAAGATACGATGAAACCATCCGTGATTTAAATCTGGAGGTCAGTCTAGAGAATCTTGAATCAGTTGAAAACTTGTATCTACTAGTTGAAGAAGGATTTAATGATGTATCCCAGGTAACAATAGAAACAACAACAATAATGATCATATATATATATATATATTTTTTTAATAAATGAATTTATTCTAATTTATCATTGGTTGTTTCAATAGACAATGGTGTCGATGAAAAATAATATGGACAATCTAGGAAATAATATGGAGTTTTTAATGGAGATGGTTGCTGGGGTTAACAAAAGTATTAAAGAATTAAGCAAAAAATCAGATCAATCTGATTTTAAGAAAAATGAATTCTCAGATAAAGTTTTTGATGGTTATAAATTAAAAGATCCACCATCAGGTGAGGATTCAAGACGTGGTAAAGTTATTAAAAAGATATT